GTTAGCATACCGCTGTTTTTATCCAGGTGTATTGATTTGCTCTAATATAAGATATATTTTTAGGCGAATTAAAATTAAAATCTGCTTTTATAATCATGGTAGATTCTCTTATTGGATGGTTCCAGGAAATGACTAATGAACTGGTTTAAATGTTATTTTATTTAAAATTACATAAGAATAGATCTTAATTATCTAGGAGGTCTAGCCAGCATTGAAAGGGTTATTCTAACTGTTAGCCAGGGTTTTATGGTCCTTCGCTGTGAAAAGTTTCACTTTCAGTCTGTGAAAGCTAGTCATAAATCGTAGAAGTCTTGACAGATAATGCTGTATGCCTGTTTATGAAACGTGTTTAGCCATTCCTTTGTATTGCATACCATTTTATACTGGATATTCATTGATTATTGTCATGCATGTTACATATTATTATTAATTAATTTGTCATTATAAAATAAAATCTATTTTTATAAAATTGTGATATTATTTATAAGAAATACATTCTCACTTAACACGATAACGATATTTGGGATCTGAGAATTGAATTAGTGGGCAATTCTCAACTGTTTACTATTATTATCCCATAAATATCCCCACACAGCGCAGACCCCCATACAGCAGGACTCTATACAGCATAGACTTCCCTATACAGCGCAGGACCCCCATACAGCGCAGAGACCCCCATACAGCGCAGACCCCCTATACAGCTTAGACCCCTCATACAGCAGACTCTATACAGCTTAGACCCCCATACAGCGCCAAGTAGACCCCCATACAGCTTAGACCCCTATACAGCGAGACTCTATATACAGCGCAGACCCCAATATAATAATGTACTAAAAAAAAAACACTCCCCAATATAATGCACTGAAACCCCCCTAATATAGTACCCCCTCCCCTCGGATGGCTGAGAGTGTTGGGAGCAGGGAGAGACTGACCTGTTCCCAGAAAAGGCTTTACTCAGACGATCAGAGTCCGCGCGTGCGCAGTATAGGGGTAGAGAGATTTCACAGGGCTTAATGGCCATCACATTTCCCTACCCCTATACTGCGCATGCGCGGACTGTGTGAAGCGCTCCATGTCCCCAAGTGCGCACGCAGCGTACGGGAGTACTAGACGCGCGTGCATACTGCGGCGTTAATTTCCCCTGCTCGCTGTTAAAATTCCCTATCTGGAGGTTGTGCGCCTGTGCGATGCGGCACACCTCCTCCTCTATTGGATGGACGTCACTTCCGGTGCGGCCGCGTCACCAGAAGTGACGAGGGTATGTCTTTTTTACGGGGTATGCTTTTTTGATAGAACACCGGCGGAGCTCTAACCAGCAGCTCTGCCGGGTCTTCTCGCGGGATTCTGAACGTTGCCACGGTTACCACGGCAACGCTCAGATCTCGCGAGAGTGAACTCTAACCCGCAGGTTAGAGTTCACTCTCACCACTGGACCACCAGGGAAGGCAGCATGGCACCCCACCCCCCAGGCATAACGGATCTCCTCCCCCCCTCCCAGGATAAAGTTAAGAAGGGAGGGGGGGGGTATCATTT